GGGGAGGATGATGGGAGGGCAGCACAAGTCGCGGGTTATGAGGGAAGGGACGAAAAGGGGGTAGGTCTGTGGATAGACAGACAGACAGACAGACAGGCAGGCACACATACACACACACACACACACACACACACACACACACACACACACACACACACACACACACACACACACACACACAAACACACGCACACACAACTGACCGCCAAGGAAGACGCATTCGAGCGGGTGACGCGTTGGCTTTGAGAAGAACAGGCGGCCAACGAATGTGGAGATGAAGGGGAGGGTGAGACTGCCAATGACAATCTGAAGAAAATCAAAGGGGCGGAGCTGGCGGTGTGGGTATAGTTCGTCTTCAATCTCCCACAACACATCCTCATCCTCAAACACATCATCATCGTCGTCATCATCATCCTCATCATCCTCATCAGCGTCATCTGAGTCTTCGTCTCCAACATTGTGTAGCCTGTCCAGGTGATAGTGTTCCTCCATTGCCCCCATGCGGCGGCGGTGGTCACCGCGGCCGTCATTGTGGCCACCCGCAACCCCATCGCCAAACGCACCATCATAGTCCATATGGTGCTCATCATCTCCGTCATCGCCGTCACTGCCATCTGCATACTCGTGAAAGCCAAATGCGCCCACACTGTACGAAAACCCTTCGCGATAGTTGTCCATCAAGTCCTCCACCTGCAGTTGGTCGTGGCGCAATTCACCTGGTTGGTCCCGGCCACGCTGTGCCTCGCCAACAACGTGGTGAAAGTGGTCGATGTAATGATGACGGTGCTGCTGCTGCCGCTGCTGCTGCTGGTGGTGGTGGTGCTGCTGCTGTTGACGCTGCGGACGCTGATGCTCATATTGCTGTTGCTGCCCATGTTGCTGCTGGTGATGCCGACTTCTCTCTGGCTCAGCCACATCCTCGCTCCACCACGCCTCATGCCCCTCGCCTTGGTCGCCTTCGCGTTCGCGAGTGCTGCTGTGGGAACTGCGATTTGTTGCGTGCCCGTTCCTCGTTGTCATGACAGAGGCGAAGCGGACCGCGCGTCCACCTCCCTGCCCATCACCAAACATCGCCCGCTCTTCCTCCTCGCTTTCGTCATCGTCAAGGTAGGCCGCGTGGCGGATTTCACGACCTGCACCATCACCATCATCGCGCATGTCACCAGCAGCACTGGCGCGGTGGGTGCGTGCAAACTCACCGCCCTGTTGCTGCTGCTCCTGCTGCTGCTCCTGTTGCTGTTGCTGGGTGAATGTGCGAGCCGCATATTCGGCTTCCAAGCGTCTCAGCTCTCGCAGGCGTTCCTGCACGCGTGCGTCCATTGCGCGGGCAACACCATCGCCGCTGCCACTACCGGCACTGCTGGTGCTGTTGACGTTGGCGCGATGGGGATGGGCTGCTGCAGCCCACATACGCACATGTGCATCTGCCTCCATCTGCTGCTGCTGCTGCTGCTGTTGGAGGTGACGGCGGTGGTGGTAAGGGAGAGCGTTGATGTCGAGTTGCTGCTGCTCCTGTGCCTGTGCCGATGCCTGTTGTCGCTCTTGTTGCTGTGGCCGTTGTTGGTGTTCTTGGTGCTGCGCAAGCACGCGGCGATTCTGCATCAGAGTGGCGACAATATCATGGCGGTCGCGCTGTCGCTGTTCCTGTTGTCGTTCCTGCTGTTGTTGCTGTTGTTGTTGCTGTTGTTGTTGCTGCTGTTGTTGCCGGCGGCGGCGACGGGCAGCAAGGGCGCCGGCAGGCATGACGTGAATGTTCCACACGCCGTGCGTGGAGATGGTGACGTGGAGGCGGACCTGGGCGATGGTGTGGGCACCCACGAGGGTGAGCGGGATGATGGGCAGGAGCGCAAAGAGGCGCTTGGGCGAGTTGTACGTCATCATGGCGCGCAGCGGGATGCGGCAGGTGGTGCTGTAGACGAGACCCCCGTACAGGGCAAGCCCGGACCACAAGCACATGCAGAAGCCGAACATGGCCATGATTGGGGTGGCCTCCGTGCAGAAGCGGCTGCAGAACTTGCCCAGGGACAAGAAGATGCCTGGGCGCGGCAGTTCAATGGCGTAGCGGCGACCACACTGCGGACACAGGAGAGGGGACCGGCCGCCATCGGAAGGCTTGCTGTCGAGCTCGTCCACCCAGCGGAGCAGGCACTCCTCATGCACATGGGCCATAGACCTGATTTATGCGTGCGTGCGTGCGTGCGTGTGTGTGTGTGTGTGTGTGTGTGTGTGTGTGTGTGTGTGTGTGTGTGT